TGTGGGGGCGGGGTGGCGACGGAAGGGACGAGCGCCTGGGTGGGCACTCACAAGATGACGGCGCAGGGGCCTACAGCTGGGAGGTGGGGGCCCGCACGTTGGAGGAGGACGACGAAGGCGAGGACGACGGCGGCGAAGACGAGGACGACGACGAAGACGAGGACCGCGACGAAGACGAGGACGACGACGGAGACGAGGACGAAGACGACGGAGGCGAAGACGAGGACGCCCACAACGACGGCGGCGGCGGCGGCGGGGAGGACAGCAACAGGGAGGACGGAGAAGGACGCGGGAGGGGCGGAAGAGGAGGATGGAGAGGGAGCAGCCAGGAGGAGCAGCGGCGGCGTGGGGGGAAGCTGTGCTGACGACCCCCCGGTTCCCCAGGGGGCACCCAGCATGCCGAAGCTCTCTCGAGTGGGATGGGACGCACAGAGACAGACTAGCACGATATAGTACATCAATTCCCGAGCGGTGTGGCCAGAAGGCGCCCGCCGCGAGGCATATGCTAGATCTCTCGGTGCGCCCGTCGCCCCGCGGGGGGAGACGCACAAACAGTGTTAGTATGCTGGGGGGGCGCCGATGCAGTGTCGAAGCTGATGCCCCCCCCCCACACATGGACAGCTCCCCCAGCCGTGGCCGGCCAACGGGGGCTCCCCCGCGTCCTGCCGCCGCCGACTTCTTCACGGGAGCGCGGGTTCTCCTTGGGAGCACCATCGCCCCGCCGAGGCGCGCAGAGGAGGAGCCCCAGCAAGCTGTAAGGACCGGCAGGGCTCCTTGAATCAAGTCAAACTGCTGTGGAGGAGAGGGGGTGGAGGGGGAGGAGTGCGGGGGGGGGATCATCGTTCGTCTCGTGTCCTTTGTTGGTCTCTGAGCGGCTTCGCACGCCGGTGTTCGACAAGGGCTCCGAGCTTTTGCGCACTCTCTCAGGTTTCCAGAGTCTGCGGGGGGCACGGGAGACGGGGGGGGGGGCTGGCTCAGGAGGGGAGCACCATCGGCATCTGGCCATCGCTCGGACGTCCATGATGGCGTGGCTTTTTCGCCATCTGGCCATCTGGCCATCGTTCGGTTTCGTGCGTGTTTTTTTCGCCAAATGATCAAGGATGCTCCTCGATGGTCCTCGCCCAGGGAAAAAAATGCACACGTCCGAGCGATGCCAAGGCATGGGAGTCGGCGATGCATCGCCGACAGATCGGCGGTAGGGCCCCCGAGAGCGGAAGAGCCGCACGATCGTGGGCGGGCGGGCCGCCGGGCCCCTCTCGGCGGTGCAGGGGTGATTTCGGTGGTCGGCGCATGCCCCCCTGAGCCGATCCCCCCCTCACGTCAGGTCGGGCATGTCCTCCACAAGACGGACGAATTGTGCAAGGGACCTGAAAAATAGCCAAAAAACCAATGCCAAAAGAGTGAAGGAAGTCTGAACTTAAACATCGTCCCCAAACTATGATTCGCCTATTTTGAAAACTCATCCTGTAGAGGGGCACGCCCGACTTAACCCTGACGCTGCCGCTGACGGAAGCGCACCGCATCCACACCCACAGCTTCGGGCGCCCCTTCCCCGCGGTGGATGTGGATGTCTGCCCGTAGTCGTCGTCGTCGTCGTCGTCGTCGTCGTCGTCGTCGTCGTCGTCGTCGTCGTCGTCGTCGTCGTCGTCGTCGTCGTCGTCGTCGTCGTCGTCGTCGTCGTCGTCGTCGTCGTCGTCGTCGTCGTCGTCGTCGTCGTCGTCGTCGTCGTCGTCGGTCGTCGTCGTCGTCGTCGTCGTCGTCGTCGTCGTCGTCGTCGTCGTCGTCCGCGTCGTCGTCGTCCGTCGTCGTCGTCGTCGTCGTCGTCGTCGTCGTCGTCGTCGTCGTCGTCGTCGTCGTCGTCGTCGTCGTCGTCGTCGTCGTCGTCGTCGTCGTCGTCGTCGTCGTCGTCGTCGTCGTCGTCGTCGTCGTGTCGTCGTCGTCGTCGTCGTCGTCGTCGTCGTCGTCGTCGTCGTCGTCGTCGTCGTCGTCGCGTCGTCCTCATTTCTCGTCGTCGTCGTCGCCGTCGTCCTCGTCATCATCCTCATCCTCGTCGTCGAGGTGGGCATATCATCCTCCTCCTCGACGTCCTCCTTCTCCTCCTCCATCGCCCCTCGGGGTCTTTCGGGGAGACGGAAGACTCGGGTTCGGGGGACTCGGGTTAGCCTGACAGGGCCACCACGAAAATGACGAGGCCCAGTCTGAAATCTGACGCGAGCCCCCGCTGCAAACATCCCACGAAAACTGGACCATCAGAATCCAGGGCGCGCTCGTGAAAATGCGTCGGCAAACCCGAGCTACGGCGCACTCGAGTCTCACATTGCCCCAAGAGGGGGGGCCAGAGAGACGTGCGGCAAGAAGAGGGGAGGAGCCACGGAATCCGGCAGGGTCTCGTGGCCTTGGCCACGATATCCAGCCTCCCGGCCCCCAGTCTTAGGTCGGGCATGTCCTCCTGCAGGCGAATTTTGGAAGGAAAATGAGAAACAGTCCAAAAATCCAAAAATCATGAAAAATAGTCGGGGAAAATCGTCTCCAGACTATATTTGTTTTAACAATTCTTGAATTGTAGACCGACATTCCCGACTTGACCCCAATCCTCGCCCCCCGCTTGGACGCACCACGGCCGGGCAGAAGCCAGACTGGGGGAGGCGGACGAGCGAGCGAGCAGTCGCCGAGGCGTCGTCCCTGCGGGGGGGGAGGAAAAAAACACGTCCTCCTCCTCCTCCTCCTCCACCTCCTCCTCCTCCTCCTCCTCCTCCTCCTCCTCCTCCTCCTTCACACGGTCGGCGCCGCCCAGGGACCGAACCTGGACACCGGGACCGGCGTGAACTGGCTCGGGATGGAAGGCCTGTCTTGGGGAAGGGGGCGAGAGGTCAGGGGCCGGCGACTCGAAAGTCGAGCTGGGTGGTGTGAGGGTGGCAGGAGGGGCAGGAGAAGTGTAGGGGAACGAAATATGACATGAACATAAACAATTCCGAGGTCCGCGCGGACCTCCGAGTTGTTATGTTTACGTCACTGCTCATTCCCCTAAAGTTAGCGAGAGGGCTCGTTGGCCAAGGAAGCGAAGGAAGACATGAACAAGAGAAGGCAACAACTCCTGACCCTCGTCCTTTTGACATCCTCCTCCTTCTCCGGCAGCGCAAGTTTAAGCTGGCCATTGCACATGCTGGCAGCGCATCATTGGAATCTCTGCGCCGATTGCGTCTCCTTATTTCACACACAGTCGAAACGTGTATTCAGGACGGGTGGTAAGGACGCAAGACCCTTGGAGGCCGAAGCTGGGATTTTTTGGGGCGGCGGGCGACCAGTGAAAACGGCAAAGGATGGGCCGCAGAGGCAAGGGCACAGGGGCACCCTAGATGAAGGTGCGCGTCCTCACTGGGCGCGTTGACTGTGCTTCCCGCACGCCAATCGCTCCACAGTGTAAATGGAAATGAGGGGGAACGTCAGGGGGGGCCAGCTCAGGCGGGGGAAACATCGACCTGGAATCGGCAATACATCGCCGATAGATCGGCGACAGGAAGCCGCACGTTCCTGGGCGAGGTGTGCTGTCGGGGCCCTCTCGGCGATAGTGGGCGATTGGGGGTCGATGCATCCCCCCTGAGTCTATCCCCCCTAACGTTGCCTCTGAGTCAACCAAACTCCACCGTACAGGCGGGCAGTGCAGCGCATGCGGCCATCGACTCGCCGGCGGAGGGGGAGGACCAAGGAGACGGGAGGGCACAGATTTAAGTCGGGCCTGTCCCCCCACAAGGGGATTTTCCACGAAAAAAATACCCGAAGAATAATCCAACAATAATCAAAAAAATACTCTGGGGACTATTTTTTGAACTTGTTTTACCTTTTGGAGGTATTCTGGGGGTATTTTTAATTTTTCGTCGACAATCCCCCTTTCGGGGGGCACGCCCGACCCAAGCACAGATGCTGCTTCCCCCCCCCCCCTGCTCGCTCCCCCCTCGGCGTCGGAGCGGCTCGCCCCCCCTGGGCCGCACGGCCTCGCGCCCTCGCGCCAAGGCGCGAGGCTCCTCCCTCCTCCTCCGTCCTCCTCCTCCTCCTCCTCCTCCTCCTCCTCCTCCGCTCCTCCTCCTCCTCTCCTCCTCCCTCCTCCTCCTCCTCCTCATCCTCCTCCCCTCCCACCCGCCCTCCTCCTCCTCCTCCTCCTCCTCCTCCTCCTCCTCCTCCTCCTCCTCCGCCTCCTCCTCCTCCTCTCCTCCTCATCCTCCTCCTCCTCCTCCTCCTCCTCCTCCTCCTCCTCCTCCATCCGCCTCCTCCTCCTTCCTCCTCCTCCTCCTCCTCCTCCTCCTCCTTCCTCCTCCCCCCCCCTCCCCCCTTTCCTCCTCCTCCTCCTCCTTCTCCTCCTCCTCCTCCTCCTCCTCCTCCTCGGCTGAGAAGAGAAGAAAGCGGGCAAGACGCGAGCAAGGGACAAGAGAGGGCGGACAAGAAGCGAAGGGGAGAGAAATGGGAGCGTCCGTCCACACAGCCGGCGCCACTCAGGACACGCTCCGCGTTTCCCTGCGGAGTCTACATCTGTCACCCCAAATTAATTAAGCACGAAGGGCCAACGAAGGCGGGCCGACAAGCAGGACGACGAGGGGAGCCAGCGAGGGCAAGCCAAGGAGCAGGGAGAGGGAGGAAGGGAGAGAGGGAGGGAGGGAGGGAGAACGAGGACGACGACGACCAGGCCGAGGGACGCGAGGAGGGGGAAGCAGGGAGACAAGGGAGCCGAGAGAGACACACACCACCAAGAAAGGGCAAGGCACAGAAGGAGGACGAGGGGGGGAGAGGAGCAAGCCGAGGAAGGCAAGGGAGCCAAGCAAGGAAAGGAAGGAGGCACACGGGCCGGGCCACGGGCCGAGACGACCCCCGGGGGGAGCCGAGGAGACGGCCAAACCCGGGGGGGAGAGGGGGACCCTCGGAGACCGGCTGCGGAGACAGCGGGGGCCGAGGGGGGCAGGCGGGCGGAGGAAAGAGGGGCAGGCGGGGTACGCCACGCACGGTATGAGCTAGTGAGGCCTCTGCCAGGGGCGCGGGAGGCCGGCCGCGCCGGAGAGCAGCTGCGCGGCTACCCCGCGCTGCAGGGCCGCGGCCAAGCTCTGGCGCAGGTCGGCCAGCGCCTCCGCGCGCCGGAGGCCTCCGGGCGCCGCAGCCTTGGCCCAGCGGTGGAACTCCGAGCCCCACCGCCCGCCCGTCTCGAGCGCAGCGGCCAGCAGTCCGCCTCCCGGGTAGCGTTGGTGTTTTGTTCGCTCCCGATCGGCGGCCGCCTGGCCGTCGCGCCGAGACCTGGCCGCTGCCAAGCCCGGGTCTGGTGTGGTGATCTCGACCACGCTCACGTCGATGGCGAGGGGGCCGGAGCTGACGGGGTCGTGCGGCAACACCACGTCGAGGACTGCCCTCTCCATGGTGCCGTCTGCGCGCACGCGGTCCCATCTTGGGCACGCTTGCTCGGTGAGTGCCTCTTCCTCTCCCCACTCTCGCTTGCACCAGGCTGCCAGCGCGTCGCGGCATCTGTTGTGCCTACGACAGAAGCCCGGGCCCTTGTCGCAGCAGCAGGCGTGGCTCCCGTAGCGCTGGCGCGCCACCGATGCGCACGGGTGGTCCGTCCGGCGTGAGCGGTGTTGGCACGGCGCCCCGCCCTGCCCCGCTGGGTCCGCGAAGAGCAAGCGGCGGCGGTAGGCCACGCAGAACTCGTCGTCGGCCAGCGTGCGCTCGTCGCGGCGAGGCACTTGCAGCCACGCGCCCCCTTCCGCCCCCTGGCTGCGCAGAAGGCTCGCCCCCTCCGGGTCAAGCGCCTGCCCCAGCTGCCGGCGCTCTCGGGCCTGTGCCGACCGCGTCAGGTCGCGCTGGGAAGGACCTCCGCCGGCACACCTGCGGGTGCCGGTGCGCTGGCGGGCCTGCGCAAGCACCGCGTGGAAGCCTGGGGCGGCGCGTTCGCTCTCGTCCAGCGTGGACAGGCCCTGCGCGGCGAGCACTGCCCGCCACGTGGTTGACCAAGAACCCAGGGTGGCCGGGTCGGCGCGCTGCTCGGCAGAAGAGAAGCCGCCCCCTCCTTCTCTGGCCGGCAAGAACAGCACAGCCCGCGACACCGCAGACAGCGGCCCGCCGAGCCACTCACCCACGAAGTGGACGACCCAGTCGTCGTAGGGCCTCCACGTCTCGGGGGCTCCTGGGCGTGCTCTCTGGGCGTAGGTGGTGGAGCCGTTCACGAAGTTGCGCAGCAGCACGAAGGCCTCGTGAATGGGGAGCCCAGCCATGGCCAAGGACTGGAGCCTCTCGTTAAAACTCTGCAGGCGCGTTACGGCCCGAGGCACCTCGTCAGCGGCCCCCACCCCAGCGGTGACGTCGCGCCAGTCGTCGCCGTCCTCCTCCGTCACCCTGTGGTTCCTCATGAACGGCAGGGTGCTGCCCAAGCAGGGCAGCGCTGGCACGGCCACGTGGCGGAGCCCGTCTGGCAGCTCGCCCGCGGCCGCCGGCACCCAGACCTTGGTCTTCCCACCGTGGACCTCGAGGCCCGTGTTCGCGAGGAGTTCCGTCGTGAGCCGCAGGGCTGCGGAGGCGCACTCCCGGGGAACCCACAGGTAGACGTCATCCAAGAAGGCGACCGCCTTGGCCTCAGCGTGCAACGTGCGCAACCGGGCGTTCAGCTCGTCGAGGGGGCCCGCCAGGAATATGCCCCACAGCGCTGGGGAAAGTGGGCAACCCTCGTCCAGGCCCAACCACTGGACGACCGTGGAAATAAAAACAAAAAAACAAGAAATAAAAAAAAAAGAAAAACACTAATATACATACGAAAATAACGAAAAAAAAGAAAAAAAAAAAGACAAAAAAAAAAAACAAACAAAAAAGAAAAAAAAAAAAAAAAAAGAAAGTGAGTATACGACCGTGGAGCTGGCCTCGCCCTCCCCTGCGACCGCGTGCACCCCTCCCCGGTCGTAGATTGACCGGGCGAGCAGCTCCAAGTCAGGGCACCGCGTGCGGAGGGCCCGGAAAAGGCGCCTGCGGCGGAGGCGGCGGAAAGCTGACCGGACGTCCACGCTGATGAAAGCCCAGTCGGGGTGCGACTCTGCGTGGGCGGTGATCGTTTTCTGCAAGGCTTCGGCCCCGCCCGGCTCCAGGACGCCATACTGGTAGGGCCCGACAGCGCTGCGAATCTCCGCCTTCCGCGTGGCACACACGGCCTGGCCGATCAATCGGCGTGGGACCGTTCCAGATGCCACCACTCTCGTGCCCGCGTCCCGCTTGGCGATGCCCAGCAAGCGCCCGGCAAGCAGGAGGTCCTTCGCCTCGCTCGGCACGTTCCCGATGCACAGGTCCCCCAGCACCTGCGCGGTGTTCTCGCCACTCATGCCCGCGTGGGCGAGAGGCCGCCAGTGCTCAAAGCGATCACCCAATGGGCCCGAACCTGCTCCCCGCGGCACCCGCGACCAGTTCCCCATGAGGTGCGCGGACACGTCGGCTGCCAGGGTGCGCGCACGGTTGCGACGGGCCTCGGCGTCCTCCTCCCGGTCCTCCTCCTCCTCCACGTCCATGTCCTCCTCCGCGCCCCCGTCGACCTGGTCCACGTTCTCGCCCAAGCCCTGCTGCGTGAGAAATGCCTGGCGTGTAGTGCCCACGTCCCGGGTCTTGGCCGTTCCCCAGGCTGCCTGGCACGCCCTCCCCAGCTCGCCCTTGTGCAAGAGGTACCGGATGCGCTGGGCGGTCTTGGACAAGCCTTTCTGCGCGGAGCGTGTTTTGACCCGCGCCGACGTGAGGCACATGAGCTGGTCCCACTCCCCCGCCCAAAACATGTCCAACCGCTCGGCCACCCTCTCCCGGACGGTCTTGGTGCTGTCCTCCGTGTCGCGGCGCAGCTCCCCGAACAGTAGCCGGTCGAGGCAGAGGAGAAGGCGCCAGCCCCGCAAGGCGTCCTCGTCGCCGAAGCTCCAGATGATGTGGCCCGCCACCGCCTCTCGAGCTTCGTTCACCGCGTGCGTGAGGGCCGTCGGCACTTCGGTCAGCGTGCCGCACTGGTCAGTGAGGAGGGCCTCCGTGGACAGGGCGGCCGCCTGAGAGCCCCACCACTCCATGTTCCGGAGGCCCTTGTCGTCGATGTCCCGCTCGTGCAAGGGCAGGCGTGCCTGGACAGCATCCCCGGCGTCCTGCGGCGGCAGCGGGGGGAGTCCTGGCGCGGGCGGCGGCGGTGCCGCTAGCTCGCACCAGCTGGCGAGCTCCTGCTGCTGCTCCGGCGGCAGATCGGCCCACCCCTCCACCTCCGCCCACGGTCCTAAGCACTGACCGTAACACCTGGGATGGACGAATTTGGGGCGCCGGGGGTTGTTGGAGCGGGAAAGCCGCAACTCGTCGAGTTCAAACGTCTCATGACAGATGTGGCATTTCCCCCGGTGTCCTCGGGCGCCCTGCAGACTCGCCCGCCAAGCAACCATCGGCAGCGCGGGGGCCGCCGCGAGGTCACGGCGCTGGCGCCGGCGCCATGGCTGCCCCCTGGCTGCCCCCTGGCTGCCCCCTGGCTGCCCCTCCTCCTCCTCCTCCTCCTCCTCCTCCAACTTCTCCTCCTCCTCCTCCTCCTCCTCCGCCTCCTTCTCCTCCTCCTCCTCCTCTTCTCGTCCTCCTCGTCCTCCTCCTTCTCCTCGTCCTCCTCGTCCTGCACGTCCTCCACATCCTCCTCGTCCTCCTCGTCCTGCTCCTCAACCTCCTCCTCCGACTGGAGCCTGTATAAAGGCCCGGACTGTTTCAATGTTTTTGTTTGGAAGCCAAGATTGCGCTTGAGACATCGGGCATCAAGAGATGACGTGTATCCTGCAGGAGGAGGAGGAGGAGGAGGAGGAGGAGGAGAAGAAAAAGGAGGACCCCAGGTGTAGTTGCACAGTGTGTGACTCCGCCTCTGTGTACCCACAGTGCCCACAGGAGAAGGAGGAGGACCTCCTCCTCCTCATCCTCCCTTCTCCTCCGACCTGCACATGGCAGCGGTGGTGGAGCATTTGCCCATCAGGCGGCGGCCCCCGCCTCGTACGGGCCCAGGCCGCCCACCGCCCCGGCGGTGGCGCTCCCCGCCGCGCCCAGGGAGAGCAGCGCCGCGGTGGCGATGAAGGCCGGACGCCGGCCGAGCGCGTCGGCCGCGAAGCCGAAGGCGAGCTGGCCTCGGCGGGCCGCCCGCCCGGCTTTTGGGGGAGGCATGGCGCGCAAACTGCGGCGCGGCGAGGGGCCCGACGGGATGGGCCTCCTAGGCCTCCCTGCCGGAGTGTCCTCCTCCTCCTCCTCCGTGCCTCCGTGCCTCCGTGCCTCCGTGCCTCCTCCTCCTCCTCCTCCTCCTCCTCGTCCGTGCCTCCTCCTCCACCTCCCCTTCCGTGCTTCCTCCTCCTCCTCCTCCTCCTCCTCCTCCTCCTCCTCCGTGCCTGCTCCTCCTCCTCCTCCCTCCTCTTCCTCCTCCTCCTCCTGCTCCTCCTCCTCCTCTTCCTTGCCTCCTCCTTGCCTCTTCAGTGCCTCTTCCTTGCCTTCTCCGTGGTTCCTCATTGCCTCCTCCGTGCCTCAGTTTCCCCTGCCTGCTCCACCTCTGCCCGTTCCGCCTGCCCCTCCTGAGGCATGGTGGCCATCTGTTTCGCCCGCCCCCCCCCGCCTTCCTTGACGGCGACAGCGACCGCCGCCGCGACGATGGCCGCGACCGCGACGACCACGACAGGACTTAGTAGACAATTCTTTCTAAGGGTGCTCCCAAAACAAGTTCACCCCACTTCGCGCATCGCGACCCGCGATGCACGACGCGGGGTTATCTTCGTGATCTCGCGCCGCCGCCATGGCAAAAGGCGCATTTTCATTCCAGGCCGCGACGCGCGACGAGCGGTTATCTTCGTGCCCCTGGGGGTGACCTATGAATGAATCGGAAGCTACCCAGACGGGAGGGACCCACACGAGAATCCATTTCGCTTGCCCCTCGCCGTTTCCTTTTCGCACTGGCGGAATCCTTCCTCCCACCCACTGTTGTTCCTCCTCCTCCTCCGTCCCCTCCTTTTCGTCCTCCTCGTTCCATGCCGTTTCCTCCTCCTCCTCCTCGTCCTTTCCCTCCTCCTCCTCCTCGTCGTCCTCCTCCTCGTCGTCGTCGTCCTCCTCCTCCTCCTCCTCCTCCTCCTCCTCCTCCTCCTCCTCTCCGTCCTCATCCTCCTCGTCTTCCACCTGTTCCTCTTTCTCCTTCTCTTCATCTCCATTCCGCCTGACCTCCTCATGCATTTGTATTTTTTTCTGGCTGGGGCACGCATGCCGATTTTCCTCGGCACCCTCGCCGCCGCGGGGAGAAGGGGCGCGTTCTCCGATGACGGGCAGTTGTTTCCGAGGACCCGCTCGGACTGCCACTATGAAGTGCTGGCCCCATCGGGGAGGGGCTCCCGCATGAGACGTCCTCGCGCTTCACTCACAGACGAGGCCCCCGCTCGAACCATCCTCACGATTTGCCCCGTTGGGGTGCTCAAGAGTTATGCCTCGTGAGTGATTCCGATGACCCACTCGGATTCGGAATTGCGGGCCCCATATGGGGGGGGGAATCCATCCTCAGACTTCCTTGCATGTCACTCACAAACCAGGCCGCCGCTGGACACATCCTCACGAGTTTCCTGTTTCGGGGTGCTCAAGTAGTATGCCTGGTCAATGATTCCGATGACATCCCCTGATTCATAACATGAGCTGCGGGCCCCATGGGGAATGGGCTTCCATTTGAGACATCCTCGCAATTTACTCACAGACGAGGCTTCCGCCTGAGACTTTCTCGATACTCAAGCTTGGAGAGGCCAGAAGTGATGACACTTACAAGATTGCGATGGCCCGTTCTGATTATTGGCATGAGCTGTGGGGCCTACAGGGGGGGGGGGGGGGCCCCTCCTGAGACGTTCTTGTACTTCAAACACACGCGAGGCCCCCGCCTCAGACTTCCTCCGTTCTCATGCTTGAGGATTCCAAAAGCGATGCCAGTTGCGCGATCCCGATGGTCCACTCGGATTAACAACATGAGCTGCGGGCCCCGCGGGGCGGCCCCCCCCGCCTGAGACTGAAGTCGCTCGCAGACGAGGCCCCCGCCCGATACGTCCTCCACGCTCAAGTTTGAAGAGAAGCCCCCCCGAAGGAGGAGGAAGAAAAGGGGGGGGAGGACACGGGGGAGAATGATGAGGAGGAGGGAGAGGAGAAGGATGAGGAGGAGGAGGTGGAATAATAGCTTTTGCACGTTGCTCCTGGGGGGGGGGGGGGGAATTTCTGCTACAAAGGCGCCGCTGTCAGCGCCGTCGGCGGGCGTTGGTGAGGAGGGGCCACGAGAGAGGTGCGAGAGTATTTCATAGGACAACAGCGAACCCAACTCCGGCACTCACACTAAGCCATAGGCTGCGGACGGGGCAAGCACGAAGGGAGCGGGAAAAGGGGGAAAAGGGAGGAACGACCCGAGGAGCCCCCACGAGAGACCTACTCAAAGGTACCGGGGACAATGGGCCAAACTTTCGCGGGCTTGACCTCGCCCGCACCCCTGGGCCAGAATCTCCCCCTCCTCTCCGGCTCCTCCTTCTCGTCCTCCTCGCGCCCGGCCTTGCTGAAGCTCGGCCGGAGGAACCCGTCCGCGCGCCAGGTCTGCGCGCGGGGCTGCGGGTCGTCGGGCGTCGTCGTCGCCGTCATCGCCGCAGCCGCCGTCAAACCAATGCTCCTACAGTGCGCCGGGGGGGCCCCACCACCCCTGGTAGTCAAATAGACCAGAGCCACTCGGGCCCCATCGCACCCCACGCTAAGCCACGTGGGCTACGAGAGGGACGAACTCTTTAAACATTTTTCTGCTCGCAGCTCGAGACCTGGACTTGAAAGCGGCGCTCAGAGAGCGCTCGTCTAAATGGCCGTGCTCATCCACCAAAACGAGGGCGCCCCTCGTGAGAAGGTCTTTGAGTGCGTGATTGCCAGAGGCTGGGTCGACCTGGGTCAGGGGATCTGACGGCATCCGAGCACGAGGCGCCCATCTCGCACGCGAGCCCACAGCCGCGAGCGAGTCGCGGATCACAGCTGACTGGACCGCATTCCGGCGGTCGGCTCTCGACCCTGCTGAGTCCCGAGAGAGCGCATCAAACGCCGATTTCGCATCCACCACAGACAGCCCCGAAGCCGCGTCGCCATGCTGGCACTCACGGGCCGACGTCATCGAGAAAAGACATTGTTATTCGAACCAGTCTGGCCGTGGCACATCTCCCCAGACGGCGTCTCTCCACAACGCCTGCACGCACTGAGCCCCCCCCCGCGGCGCCTGAGAGCGCAAGCGTTTCCGCCGCGACAATGCTACAGACAGCCCTCTTAATGCGCACTGATCCCCACGCAAGAAATCTAACTCGCGCCCTGCGGTTGTCGCGGATCGCCGAGTTGGCAGCCGTGATCAGCCGGGCCCCCTGCGCGCCCCCATCGCCGAGCACTCCCGGGACCTCCGGCGTCGCTCGCCGCGACGAGAGTCACTGACGATGGATCCAACGCCCAAATCGTCAGCCGCTGCTCTGGGGGCGCCTTCAAATGCTTGCAGGCCTCTATCAGGGCAAGCGCGCCAGCCACACTTGGCGTCGGCAAGGCTGCCGCAAACAAAGAGGCCGAGCCGGCAGCGCCCGGGCGCGACCCCCATCGCGAGCCACTGGACCTGACCTGCTACAGTACGATGCGAGCGGATCTCGTCTCGAGACAGCGGCGCCTCTGGCTGCGATCGTCGATCCTTAGTCATGTGCATTGTCGAGAGCCGTTCCCTAATAAACTTCTCCGGGTATAAAACTATCCCGTTCGACGTCTGAAGCAAATGGCGGCCGGCGTAGTCGGTTCCATTTCCCGAAATGGGAACGCTCGGTCAACGAGGACCGCAAGAAAGCCAAACACTTTTCTCCCCCTGAGACGACGAGGTCTTCGACTCGCCGGCCCAACGGGCCAGGGCGTGCTAAGATCTCCGGTACCTGGTTAACAGTATTTCTAGTTCGCGCGCGCGGGGCGGCCCCCGGGGGTCCCCGGACGAAAAGTACCCCGGCAAGGTCCCGGCAAGGTCGGGCCAGAGATGCCGGAGCCCTGTTACAGGGCCCCAGGACGGGCCAAGAGGTCCCCAAGAAGCCTCCAAGACGGTCCAAGAGGGCCCCGAGACGGCCAAAGATCGCCCGAAGACGCCCAACAGGGCCCCAATACAGCCCAAGAGGCCTCCAAGACCCCAAGAGGCCAAATTCGTTGATTTTCATTGTTTGTTCGATGTTTTTTTGCGTTCTGGCTTTTTCGGCTTCCGGACGCTCCAAGACGGCCCAAGAGGCTCCCAAGACCGCTCCAAGACGGCCCACGAGGCTCCCAAGGACGGCCCCGGAAACGGCCCAGGAGGGCCCCCACGGACGGCCCAAGTGCCGCCCAAGACGGAACCAGAGGCCCCAGACGGGCCCAAGAGGGGCTCAAGAGGGAACCGAGAACTGAAAAATCGAGCCCTCCGCCCCAGAAGGCGCCCAGGAGGCCCCAAAAAGGCCCCAAGAGGCCCCAAGAGGCCCCCAAGACGCCCCAAGAGGCGCCCAAGAAGCCCAAAAGAGGCCCCAAGAGGCCCCAAAACGGCCCCCAAGAGGCCCCAAAACTCGGCTAGCCCACAACGGTGCGACAATATGGGCCGGCGGAATGAGCGAAGCGATTAAATAAAACTATCCCATTCGACGCTGAAGCAAATGGCGGCCGGCGTAGTCGGTTCCATTTCCCGAAATGGGGGCGCTCGGTCAACGAGGACCGCAAGAAAGCCAAACACTTTTCTCCCCCTGAGACGATTAGGTCTTCGACCTCGATAAGGACAAAGGCCTCCAGCCCGCCTGGCTTGCCTCTCTTAAGCCACAGGCATGGCTCTAGCAAGGATTTCACAAATCCAGGGGACATGAGATAATCTGTGAGCGTGCGATGCCAAAAAAAGAGAGCGTCGTCCAGACCGTGCACGGGCGCGACCAGCTCTATTAGGGAACCTGGGGGCAAGGTCAACCCGGCACACGGTTCCACATAGATTGCACCGCCTGGCCTCTCGACACGGTTGCCCTGGCAGAACGCATTCTCGGCATCGGCCACGTTGATCACCCACCCCATGGACGCGATCACCTGCCAAGTGATGAGGATGCTTTCCGTTTGGAGTATAGGAGCATAGACGGAGATGCTGTCCCCGTCTGGATCTTGGCGGCCATGGACGCACCATCTTGATTAGCCTTCGCCTGAGCCCCCACCCCTTCCATAGGCTTGAAACGGCGCACCATGCGCGATGACAGCACTCGATCGGGATGATGTCTGCGGGCCATCCTCGCATCATCAGGCGAGAGCACTCGCGCTGCGCCGGAAAACAGAATAGCCTCCCATTCCGCTAGATCAGAAGCAACGAACTGGGCCCTCTCCTCGGGCGTGAGATCCTTCATTACCACCTCAGCTACCCTGGGATTGGAGGGCTTGCCTGAGCCCTTGATCGTAGCCGCCCCGGTAAAACCTGACATTGGGTCCTGGACTCGGGCCATGTAGTTAGGCGCCCCGCGCATGTCCGACCACTCCAGCAGCTCCAAAAACAGCTGCTCGTCCTGAAAATCGTCGGCCTCGCTATCCAAACCCTCGAACCCCACCTCCGCCTCGGCGGCGGGCTCGGAATCCCTGACGACGCATCCACTTAAGTTCCCGAAGCTGAAAGGGGGGCGGCGGAGCGCCCAAGGCTTGTCGCAGGTCCTCTGGGGGCTCACTCGATGGAGCGGAGGGCGAGGGATGCCCGGAAGACGAAGAAACTCCGTTCCCGGGTCGAGCGACCGGCGAAGCCTGAGGGGCCGAAACCGAACGCATTCGAGGGGCCCGTCCGCGCACGCGGCAAGGATGGTGCCCCACTGCTGGCAAGACAGAGGCCCCGGACCCCGCGGCTTCCCGTTCGCGAACCATGTCAGCCACCCGGGCTCTCTGACTGACAACGTCCTCGATGGGGGCGAGCCGTCGCCGGGCCGCCCGTTCGGGCTAGGGCTCAGATGCGCGGGCCGCGCCTCGGGGCAACTCAGATGTAGCAGAGCCTCCGCTCGCGGCCCTCGCCATCGAAGGTTCAGAGGCTTCCGGCGCCCGAGTCTCATCCCGGCTCTGGGGCTCAACCGGAACCGCAGGAGGCGCGGCGAAAGGGGGTGGCACCGACATGCTAGGATCCAAAACTCTGATAGAAGGATCGGGGTCCGGACGCTCTCTGGACTCTGGGCTCTGGGCCGTCCCAGGCCTCGGTTGGAGGAGGCCCCTCGCAGGCCGCGTTGACCGCCCCGGACCGCTTCCCCGGGGCCCTAATCTGTTCCCGCAGGGCCGCGAATCGAGCCGAGTCCAGCCATTCCGCTCCAAGCGACTTTTGACGGGTGGCCGAACGGATCTGCTTCTCGGAGCACTTGTGCAACTTGGTGCGCGTCGCTGCCCAAACCGTTCCCCCGTTCTGGTACACTATCACCCCCGGCCCGGTCCATCTGTCTCGCTGCAACGAGTGGGTCCTCGTGTCGGCCGTCACTCTCCTCCGCGCGTATACCCGCTCCCCTGACTTTTAACATGGCGCTCAGCATGCATGCGAGCTTTGCTCGCTTCTGAAAGACGGGATCGAGCGCCCAGAAAGGCCATGGCCTTCCGGGCCTCTTGCCGCAAGAGGTGTCGCCGAGCAAACTCGGCTGCTGCGGAATCTCCCTGGGGAGCTCCACCGAACGCGTCCTCGCATCCTACAAGATCCACCTCTTCGTCAGACAGGGGCGATCCGGGCGCCCTCGGAGCTCTCCCGAAGACCAGCCGCGCCGGACTGACCCCCCACCTGTGGCAAGTGCTGTTCTTAGCCACTACCGCCTCGCACAACAGAATGTCAACCTCATCCCGGGAAACCGGATTCGTGGCCAGCGAGGCCTTGGAAAACACATCCTTGAATCTGCCCCCGTGTCTTTCACAGCGCCCACTGTAGTGGAAGATCCCTAGATGCTCGCATCCACGGGAAAATTCTCGCTCAAAACTCGCCGCCTCCGCCTGAAATGAACATCTCTGGCAGCCCGAACGGGCTCGCCCAGAGCTGGAGGAAGCCCTTCCACGTCGCCTTAGCCGTATCGCTCGGCAGTAAACAGGCCTGTTGATAATGAGCGCCGTGACATATGACATTCAAGACTGGTGCGCTAGCCCCCATCCACCTCCAGGTAAAAGAGATCGACCGCAACTTGTTTATCGAAATCGTAAAACACAAAGAGGTGAGCGTGACGCCGCCAATGCTGCCGGGCATGCGACTCGCAGGCCTCGCACCGAAAATGATTCGTGGACCAGTCCAAAACATCGGACCTCGCTCTCGCGACGCGAAGCGTCCTTAAGAACTCGGGGAGGGCTGGATGACCGAGATCCACATGTAACTTGTGGATTTCCTGCCTGAGCTCGGAACCCAGGGACCCTTTCCGAAGGGGAAGCCGGGGCTGGAACCGGGACCACGGGCCCTCTCAGGCCCTTCCAGGTCTCAGGAACGTCCTCGTCCGAGTCCTCGTCGTGACTGACCTCGGCCTCTGGGTAAGACCCGGATGGCAGAAAGTCCAGCTCTCGATCATCCAGGGGAACAGTAGCTTCGTTCTCAGACGTGGCTTCAGCAATGAGAGAGGGACCGGAGAGCCCAAACTCACACTGATCAGTTGTCTGAACCCGAACTCCTTCCTGGGACATCAAGTCTTGCACCTGACCCAAGTCCCAGGAGCTGGCCCCCTCAGGATTTTCGAACGAGAAATATCTCCCGGCTCGCATCTGATACTTTAGCCACCTGGATACACAGGTCAACATACTCGAGACCACGCTGTTCCACGGCCTCTCGGGTCCCGGGGCCCATGGTGTCCCAAGACGCCGCTCGGGCCTGACTGACTGCTTTGCACTCTGGGGACATGAGAACCCACAACGGTTTGTCTCGCTTGATCGTGGCCCAAAGGACCTGCTGCCCCTCCGTCGTTCCAAGGTCCACACCCGTGAGCAGGTCGCTCGAGTTCCTTGGGCACCCGGGGGGAAAGAAAACATTTCTAGCACTAGGGTTCCGGCCCTCGCTTCCTCGGCCTCACGGGCCTGCT